TGTTAACCTTTAGTGTCAAGTTCTGAAAGACCAGACAAAAGAAGACTTGGACTAGTTTTTTTATTCCCATATATTTAATCCACATACCCAGTTCAGACTGGGTGTGTTTCAGGTATTACTCATGTTGTGGGGACCTAATTCTCTGGCTTGGTTCAGTTTAGGTTAAGGTTAGTGTAAGTTAGTCAGTAAGTAAACTTCTAAATAGTGTTCACAGAGTGTCTTGACTGTAGTATGTCATTATTATAATACAATTATAACTGTTATTATAAACATGATTATTATTATTTATGGCAAATTAAATTAAATAAGAATTTTCCGGTCTAGGATCCAGTCACGTGAAACCTGCCAGACAACACAAAGCTAACTACACAGTGTTATTTCCGATTATATCCCGGAAGTTAACTGACAATGAGTGTTCTGTCACCATGGAGACAGATAGACACCGACACACTGACCAGCAGGGCAGCAGGTAGTTACCATGGCAGTCTACACACTCACCTCTGAACACTGAGTCCTGTGTGTATTTATGATGTTAGATAAACCATGTGTGTGCATGTTTAGCTGTGTAGTTACGTGTTAAGTGTTTTTTTTTTTTTTTCCACCAGGTATTCACTTCCTAGTTGAAACTAGTAGCAAGCTAGTCGCAGGTTAGCTAGCAAACGTGTGCACTTTTACCAAATGGCTTTTTTGGCAATTTCTTTCCATCACTACTTTTTCTCCTTTGTTTGGTTGACTGGCGGGTAAGGTGCCTTTGTCTGTGATCTGAAATGAATTTGCATTATCTTGTGTTGTCTTTGATGTTTTGGTGTCTTGTTTATATTTGTCCCCTTTGTAATGGCTTTGTGTTTGTGAAAGGTCAGATATAGATGAAGTTAGTGTTGTTTTTGTTAAGATTTTTTGTACTACTACTGAAGTGAAGTGTATAATATATGATTTTAATCTTTTTAAAGTAATCCTTATAACTTACTACTACAGACATGTCCAGAAATCCTCCAGGGTCCAAACCCAAAGGGACTGAAGACTGCAGAAGGTTGAGAAGGACCATTGCTGAAGACCCTCTCTGGTCCCTGGCTCTAGTGCCCAGTCTATCCCACCTCTGCCTGCAAAGCATTGTGAGAGACTTCGAGGGTAGGCTTTTGTTTTTAGCTGCAACAATATACACTGTTATAAACACTTGTATGTTAAATAACTACGGTCTGATAGTTAATCTCATACGTGTTACAGAACATCCTGTATACGAACAACTTTCACCCATCCAGAGAGACTTCATCCATGAGAGGCTACCTTCTTCCGTGCCTCTGAGCGTGACAGCAAACCTGATCAACGATGGCGTCTACTGGATGCGATGCTGCAAGCAGCAGTGGACTCTTTGTGATGTCTCACATTATGGCCACAGCTGGAAACGAATGTTCTTTGAGAGGCGCCTGGAGGGCATGATTGAGCTTTTTATTCCAGGTGTAACAGAGACAAAGACAATCCTAGAGATGGTCCCACTCTGTAAGAACTACGTCAAGAGGCTGGATATTTCCCAGCTGCTGACGCCTGTCAGGGAGCCCCAGAACGAGAACATGGAGAATTATTTCTTGGGGTTGATAGATGACGACGAATATGATGGACCCCCTATGGACCACTTTGACTTCAGCATCTTGCTTGAAAAGCTGACCTGCCTGGAAGAGCTCCATGTGGAATACAGAATCAAACAATGTGGTCTCAACTATGATTGTAGGATGTTTAAGATGAGCCACCAAGACTGTGTTTCCCTCGCCATGGCTCTTAGGTCCTGTAAAACACTGAAGGTAAATATTGATTCCTCCTCCGTGGTTTATGGCGTGCTGCCCCTTACAGCTCTGCATCTTTGCAAGGCCGGGGGCGGGACGATGTGAAGCTTTCATATTCGTTGTAATTCAGCACTCTTGACTTTCTCTGGCAGTTAAAAAAGCATTATTTACAGAAATGTCATGCAACAGGAAATTAGTCATTGGCACAACTTTAAGGTCTTTTTATGTCAAAGAAAAGACGGCAGAGCCTCTGGCTGCAACCTAAATAAGTCACTATTTGACACAGCAGTTTTGTCACATGAATTTATTACTGCACGACAATGTGGCATCTATCTGCTGCTGGTGCATGTGCATGAGAAGGAAGCTGTGCACAAGATAAATGGAGTTGATGTTAGGGCTGCCACTAATGGGTAATTAATCTGTTGTTGATTATTTTGATTAAGTTAAGAGAGGAGAGAGAGAGACCTGTAACACCATCAGGTATCAGCTCTGACTAGTTATAATGAAAACAATAACAGTGTAAAGATGTTATTGATTATTAATGATAGCAGCAACAATTCATATAA